AAATTTTTTAATTGGAAATACATAATTTACGGTTCAATATAACAGAATACGTAAAAAAATTTGAAACATTGTGGTTTAATAATTACAGAAAAACAGCTCATAACAATTCTTTACACGTTTTCACGTCACAAAATTATTCGCTCACGCTACGAACCGACTAAAACAAATGCAGTCTACAAACTTTGATGGGTATTTGTTTCTGATTGTTGCTTAAGATTGTCAGTATAACATAGAAAAGCATTCAGTAAGCATCGATTTCCATTTATAACTTCTCGTTTCAATAAATCATTAGCGTTAGCGTTAGCTTTAGCGTTAGCAATTACGTTAGCGTTAGCGTTTACGTTAGCGTTAGCTGTAGATGCTGGATTCACACTGGGTCCTTTTTCCGACGTACAATGTACGATATCCAATAGGAGAGTTTGTATAAAATAATCTCTTATATAAAACAATCTTTCTTATTGGATATCGGACATCGTACGTCAAAAATCGGACCCAATCCAGCAAGAGACAGTTTAATATTGGCGGGAAGAGGGTATCTGTTTTATCCCCACCAATACTAGAGCACTAAAGATGTAGGTAGGTATTCTCACGTCTGCGCCATTTTCGCTACATTCCCCCACTCCTTGCCCTCTCGTCTAATCACCATAAACTTCTTAGCTCAGTGAGGGCGAGCTAAGAAGCTAAATGGTCGAGAGGGCAAGAAGTGGAGGAATGGAGCGAAAATGGCGCAGAGACGAGAATACTCACGTTTTATAGTGCCTTACCCCGGCAATGTTAAACTGTCTCTTTTCACAATGGAACTATCCCTACTCCTTCAAGGCTCACTTCAGTGTGTTAAAAAACCCAAGGAATGCCGACCGATGAGTCAATCAGGCTGAATCAGACTGAGTGTGATTGTCCGTTTGGAAGTGCGTTGTAAAATGGCAATAATAGATTCGCTATCCCTTCGCGGGATTCGCAACTTCGACGAAAACGAAGATTTATCAATACGCCTGTTCTGCCCATTAACACTTATTCTTGGGCCTAACGGTACGGGCAAAACAAGTCTTATTGAAGGATTGAAATTCGCCACCACAGGGCAGTTTCCACCTGGCTCAAATGGAGGAAGATCCTTCATACGTAATGCAGCATTAGCAACAACTAACTCGGTATGGGTGTGACTGTAATTATATTAATCTGATTATATAAAAAAGGAACCAAATGGCTAGATTTTGCGAACGACCATTTGTCAATTTGTTACCGCATATGTCAAGCCAAATGGCTTTTGTAAAAATTCGTATTGTCCCGGAGGCGTAACAAAAGATGTATATTTTACTGACGATTCATCCTTATGTGATAAAATATGTTATCTTTATTGGCATAGGTAAGAGGTGTCGTCACAGCTAAAATAATTGACGCCATGGGAAACACTTACACAGTATCCAGAACAATTGCGTCATTGAAAGCAGGAACAAAATTTAAGATTGTTCACAATATTGTAACCAGAGTTGGCAAAGATGAAAAAGAAGTAAATATACTGTCTATTTTGTAGCTTTTATATTTTGAGTTTATTTAATTTAATTATTTTAATTTTCTAAAACAGAAAACATCAGTAATCAATCGATGCGCTGATGTTGATACAGAACTCTGCGTAGCATTAGGTGTTTCAAAATCAATTCTAAATTATGTCATATTTTGCCATCAAGATGAGTTCAACTGGCCATTTGATCAAGGAAAGGTGTTAAAAGAGAGATTTGATGAAATTTTCGATAGTGGCAAATATAATAAAGCCTTGGAGAATATTTCGAAACTGTACAAAAATTTACAGAGCGACATTCGAAGCTTGAATGCAGAGAAACAGACGTTCAAAGTGCTTGTATCTGAAGTAGAAGACAGAGAAACCAAACTTGAGGAGCAGAAGAAGAGATTGGATACCACAAAGGGAAAGATTAATGATATTAATGAGCAGCTTGAGCTTTTGAAACAGAAAATTGAAGAAGCGCTACAGTTTGATTCAGAATATAAAAATGTTCAGGCTGAAGAAGGTAAGTTAAATGGAAATTTATAAAACTATAAATAAATTGTGTTTTTTTTTACATCAATTTTTTACAGAGAAAAAGAAAATGGAATACAACATGCATATGGAACGATATGAAAAGCTTAGAGAAACTGTAAAAAGTGTCTTTGAAGGAACAACAGAGGAGTTAAGTGCACGCATAGAATCTTATGCTACTGAATTAATAAAAGAGAAGAATGATGAAACGAGAGAGGTATAAATAAATATGCTTGTAATAATTTTTCAAATTATTCGCGTTACACATCAGTTTGTTTTCAGAATGAAGTTGCAATTAAAAATATTAACGAGGAAGAAACTAGGATCTTGAATATCTTGGCGACACGAAGAGAAATCGTAGGCAAATTAAAGCAACAAGTGAAAGATCAGGAGAGAAGAGTAGTTCGTCGTAATCAATTGTTAAATGATGCGCTGAAAGCATGGGATTTTGATACAGTTGGTTCGGACGTCACTGAAATGGGTATTTGAAAATTTGTAATCACATTGCTTTTTCAATATTGAACAAATATTTTTTCTTTACTAAATCTTGCAAAAATTTTATATACAGAGGTGAAAACTTGTACAAAAGTATTGGAACAAAAGATGCGAGAGTTTAAGCGAGAGGTGGAGAAAAACAGAGCGATCATGCTGAAACAAGAAAGAGAATTGCAGAAGGAAATTGATGTGCTACGTACTAACTATTCAAAGATAGAGTCGGAAAAGGTTCTCAAGGAGAAAGCAGTAACAGAGATAACAGATGAAATTGCTGCAATTCGAAATCAGATAACACAAGTAATATACATTGTCGAAAAAGATTTTAAGATAAAAGTGTTTAGTTTCTAATAAACACTATAATTTTTACAATTTTCACTTTTTTTCTAGATCGGTGCAGCAGGAAATAAGTTGATGTCTATCGAACAAAAACTACAAGCAGCAAAACAAAAAGTTGAGAAACTTGGCAATGCGTTAGATGTCGATTCTGTTAAAGCTTATCTCGAAAACAGTATAAAATCCAGAGATGAGATTGAAGCTAGCTTAAGTGCAATCGACGATGAGATTAGTTCTTCTCATAAATTAAGCTTATTAACGGCGGAATTCGATTTAAGAAAGTCAGCGTTGCAAGCTAAAGAAGAAGAACTGCAGAATTTAAAAGCTAAACATGGAGATAGCCTCAAAAAAATCTTAGGTGTGCAAGAAATATCAGAAGTGCCACAAGACAATTTGACATATACTTTAGATTACATTCGTCGGCAATTGGTATGTGATCAGTTTTTTCATTTAATACGTACATTATATGCTTATAAAATCTTGTTATAAATTTCAGGTGGATAAAATAATTATGTTGACACGTGAGATTCAAGCACAAGAATGCAAAACTTCTGCTTTGGAAGCAACATTGCAACACGTAAAATGCGAGATTTATGAAATAACGAACAAACTACATCGTAAGAATGTTCTATATTTTCTTTACAATTTTACATTTTTGAAAATAATTTTGATCGTGTGAGTTCTGGGGATTTTTTTTTAGGTTATAACAATAAGATATCTGCAATGCTCATCGGCGATTCCAAGGTTTTCGAGGAGTCTCTGTTGACGCAGTCTACGATAGTGAAAGGTCTTCAGGACGAAAGAGGCATTTATGCTCATAAAATTGCAGCTTATAAGGAACACTTACAAAAATTATCTGCGAATGTTCCCTGTTGCCCGTTATGCCATAGAAACATTAGAGGCAAACGGAGAGTAATTGATATAAAAAACGAAATAAAGGGGGATAAAATCTGTATTGAGTCGGACATGAAAAAGTGTGAAAACAATTTGAAGACGCAGCGGGAAAAATATGACTGCATGCTCTCGTGGAAACCTGTTGTTGCAAAGATTCCGTTTCAGGAGCGTGACCTGACAAAATTGAAGTGAGTTGATATATTTTTTACACTTTATTTCTTTATTTATAATTTGTTACAGTTTTAATATATTTTTGATATTTTTTCCAATTAGGCAGAAAGTAGAAGAAATAAGATGTAATATAGCGCAATCGAGAACTGTTATAAGAGGTCTCGAAACATCAAAAAGAAAAACCGAGAAAATGCTATTGTTATACGAGAATCCAATGATGGATGTGAAGCTTTGGGATCAATGCGCACCGCAAATAAAACAATTAACTGAAATTGTCAACAGCCTGACGATTCAAATGAACAATGCTGGTAATGCTAATTTATAGACGATTGTAGTAATTTATCTTTATTTTTAATTAGTATCTTTTGTATTTTAATAAAAATATTTGTTTTCTAGGAGTCCAAACCTATAGAAGCAGAACTATAGAAGAAGCGCAGGCGCAGCGAGATTCCATCAAAACATCTCTGAGACAAAGTCGTAATGATATCGACGTGCTGCAGCTCGAATTAAGCAGGCATAACGAGAGAATGCATGACGCTAGAGCGGCATACCTCGACTTACGCGAGGAACAATTAAAAATGCAGGAGGATATGCAAAAGATTAAACATTTGAAGGACAAGCAAGAGGACTTGGTCACGCGGCAAGTTTCCATGCGAGAAACGGTGGCCATGTTGCGAAAGGATTTGGCGAGTGCCCAGGATCAGTTAGATTTCGGTACTCAGCGACTGGAAAAGACCAAGGTTTGCTTTTTGTAAAATTTTCATCTAAGACAATTTGTGTTACAAATAAATACAAAAGTATCACGCATTTTATAATTCAACGACATAAAGCTTGTGAATGGATACTGGAATTTTTTTTTTATTATAGGCGGACAACTGGCAAAAGCAGGAAACTGATGGACAAACAATGGCGGAAAGCACAAAATGTTTGTCCGAACTGCATAAAATGATGAACGAAACTCAGTCATTTTTGAACAGCAACGTGACTGAGAATCTCGCGAGATACGAGGTTGAAATAAAGGCCTCCGAACGTTTGCTAACAGATCTTACGAACAAGAGAAAAGATGTCGAGCAAACGATAAACAAGTTGATGGAGGATATCATGTGTCGAGAAATCGGAAGGAGAGAATTACAAGACAATATGACGTTGCGCCAAATCAAAGAAACGGTAGAAGCTTTGGAAGGACAGCGCAGAAAGTTGTTAGAAAAATTGATAAATATGAATCATGACGAGATGGCGAAGAAGTGGCATCAATTAGAAAATGAGAAGCAGGTGTTGCTTCGTCAAGTAAGTGACATATTTATATTTTATGATTTATTTAATTTATATTAATATATTGACTAATTAGAAATTGTTTAACTGTAATTTTAGAAAAACATAGCACTGGGAAATCAGGAAGAATTGGAAAGAGCAATAAAACAATACACGCAGGAGTTGCGAAAAGAGGAATACGAATTGTCTCGTGAAAATTACATCAACAAATGCATTGAATTAGAAGTAAAATCATATACAAAATAATATATATTTATATCAATTGTATTATGCAATGATCAAACATGTAATTTTGGATATTTTTCTTGCATTAGGTTCAAGAAAACGCTGTAGCCGATTTGGAAAACTACAGTGCAGTACTGGACGCCGCAATGATTGATTGCTTCAAGGAGCGCATGTCGAGTGTCAACAAGATATTAAAGAAACTGTGGCAGCAAGTTTATAAGGGAACAGATACAACCTGCATTGAAATCGATATGGAACTTATAAAGGGTGCAGACAGGATTGGAAGAAGCTACAATTACAAGCTGATTCAAACTAAACACGGCTGCAAAATGGACATGAAAGGGCATTGCAGCGCTGGACAGAAGGTAATTAGTATATGCATCGAACAATTAACACTCGTAATCAGTGAAACACATTATTATGTTTACACAAAACTCGCGATTTTTTATAGGTGCTGGCGTCAATACTCATAAGACTTGCCTTGGCAGAAACATTTTGCAAGGATTGTGGTATTTTCACATTAGACGAACCAACCACGAATCTGGACGAAGAAAATGTGAACGGCTTAGCAGATACACTAACTAAGTACACTTTTATTTTTATCTTCGATGTAAAATTGTATTTAAACGATTATAAATAATATTAATATTTTGCTTATTAATATGTTGCAGAGTGGTTGAACTGCGATCGAGACACCAAAAGAATTTCCAGTTGATTATAATCAGCCATGATGAAAAGTTCCTACAGAAGCTTGCCAACTTGAGCAATCATAAGAAATTCTATGAACTTTATCGCAAAAACGAGTACGTTATTTAAAAATATGTTTTTTTTTTATATCACATTAGAATTATAGATATAACGAGTTAATTATTTTTTTACAGCGGAATGACCGCGGTGAAACTTTCTGATTTTAACGAACCTACGAATTCTCTGGTTTGTCACATGAGGAGAATCACATTAGACGAATCCGATGCAGAAGAGCAGCGTCCTAATCAGTTACGAAAGTCTACCAATTCGTCTATAAATGTATCGAATAAAAAAAGATACAATTGGAATGATTTTAACAAAATGGATAAGCAACCAACTGCAAAGAAATGTCGTTTGGAGTAATCTAAAGTATACGTTCCATTTTTTATACCAAATATTTTTTCGTTCATATGCGTTATTTATTAT